ATAGTTCATAGAAAAAAACTATAGAGGGCGCAGAACCTCTTCCTGATTTTTAACAATATTTTTTCTACATACCCGGTAGTACCGGGTACGCGCAATTCAACAATATGTGTTTATACCCGGTATTACCGGGTACACGCAGTGAAAGGGTTAATAGTCTGTCTAGATTGCCTTCCCCACACGTGCAAATGAAATAGACTAGGCCTATTTTGAAGTCAGCCTAATGGCTGCTGTTTATATTCGTACTCGAAAGTAATTACTAGTCTTGAAGTCTAGACACTTCGTGTCCTCCAACTACACTTATCAACTAGAAATTGCAAATTGCAAGTGAAGTGCTGCGAAGTACAACTGCATATAAATGTTCTTCGAACAAAATTATTTATGCGAGTCAAGTGAAAATAATGAATAATAAAAATATAACAAATAATATGAGACACGACCCATTGTCTATATTAGAACACTTCTCATTGGGTAACTAAGTCGTAATTTTTCATTTTTGTCAAAAAGTGTTGAATTATGGTTTAGGTTTTTTTAATAAAGTTTCAAAAATTTCTATGTATGTGGAAAATGTAGTTGATTAAGGTTACAATTTTTATTTTGAAGACTGCATGGTCTAGGAAGTGTACATTTTTTTATGGGGCAAGTTTCCAAGGGCAGGTCTAGGGGCAAGTTGACTGCCAAAGAGTGTTGCCAAAATGCAAGCCAGCGTGTTATTTGATCACAAGTGCGAGACCGCAAGTGTGAGCCAGCGAGCCATGACGTCACGACAGTAGATACGAGAAGTTACTGGGGTTGTGCGAGGTATCAGCTGAGATTTGTGGAGTACAATTCAAAAAACAAATATAGGTCTAATAATGAATTATTGTGATGTTGAATAGACAATGTTAGTTATCAAAGAGCGACGTTGTTTTTCATTGGGACCTTCGTCCCTTCAAGGCTAGGCCTAGGCCTATACCATCCTAGCTAGTCTAGGCCTAGAGTAGGATAAGGCTAGCGCGACATGCGGATGTTGGTATGTGTTGGTTAGTCTACAAACGTCGCCTAAAGTAATTGATTTTACCCGGCAAAACGAAAGAAGGAAACTCCGCTTTTCAGTCGTCTTAGGCCTTGTTTTTTGACAAACAATGACCTTCCAGAGGTCAAATTGCTGTCAAGAATATGAATTGGCTGCTTCGCAGCAACTAATGGCTGTGTGCCCAAGATCTTGGTATATGTCTGGTAGTTATAGACTAGACTAGTGCGAATATACAGACCACGTGCAGCAGGCCCAGGCGGCTGACGGCTTACAGGTACGATATCGTGGGAAAATATGTAGGTCTGAGGCTATCAGTAAACGATTAAGAATTAATTTTCAATCTTTACTGCAGAAAATAACAAATTTTATATTGAGTAGGACTACATTTTTTCTTTTAAACCGTCATTAAATCGTGGGAGTGTAGGTGACTAACTTGATGAACACTGTGCTGTGCGTAAACCATGGCATAGTCGGTTTTCTGTTTGATCTCTCTTTGTGCGCCGACAATTTATTACTAAAATATGATGCGTATTGTCATTGAGTCAAACTTTTTATAAGTACTGTGAAAGCATTACGCATTCCATGGTGAAGTAGCCTAGTCCAAGACGGGGNTTCGTTCCCCCCCCCCCCCCCGCCCCAAAAAAATAAAAAAGAAAAGAAAATTCTAAGAATTTATGTTAATACAAAAGGCATAATGTACATATTTCGGAGATTATATTGCAAATTTTCCTGATAATTGGAGGGCAGATCATTCCTTAAATAAAGGACATTTTAAAATTGAAAATTTCATACAGTTTGTTCCAGAAGGACAGAAAGAAAATCTGTTCCACATTTTTATGTGTCATGTGCAGTGGCTTTAATCCCCTGCTGCTTCCTATAGCATATAGCATCACCACTGACTATCATACAATTACTCTGTATGCTTATAGAATTAGTACATTGGCTTCCAGAAGAAGCAGAGGACATATACATGTTGGCACTTGTTGAATTTAAAATTCTACTTAGTATCAAAATCTATGTAAACAGGTCTACACAGAGATTTACTCAGAGATCAGCATTTTCCTGAAACTTAAAAGAGCGAAAAAATATTTAAGTTTTAAGAAGTACTTAAAGAGATACTGTTTTTCTGAGGCATATATGTGTTATTTCTATTCAGTTGATGTAAAGCAGCACCAGGAACATCAGTATTGACAGATATCGATGCTAATTGACATAAATTGATACAAGGATTTCCAAAACACATTTAGGTGATTGTGTAAATCGTATATAATTTGAGAGTTTAATGTAATAACCCATTTTTAGTTCCTATGCATGTAATGCAATAGGAACTATAATTGTAATCACTCTTCATTGTTTTTCCTTTGTTTTTTATTGTGTGTAGTATGTGTGTGTGTGTGTGTAGACATTTATGCAAAGGCGCATGCGTCAAAGAAAAGTTTTCCGACATTTTGTTTTACCTCGCGATGCGAAGTTCGATGTGAAGTTCGATGTGAAGTTTCTGCAGAGTTCAGTCAGGGCTCACGCTAACCGATCGGCAAGTCGGCATGGATCAAACTATTTTGGTTTTACTGCAAAAAAAAATCAACCGCTGTGGCATAGGTATTTTGAAGAAGGCCTAAAATAAAACAAAAAGGTTTTAATACTTGCTGAAATACATCGTTTTTTCATTTAGATCTCCATTTTTCACTAACTCCATGCGACTTTTTTTTTCTGTTGCATGAGTTGTCATCATATGAAGGTACTATATCCCCGACAGTTGGCTATGCAGCAATGTACCCTTTGAATGCAAATTGAAGACAAGTGAAGATACTGTATTATAAAGGCAGCCGACTGTCGGGTACATAACGACTATCTAACTTTCCACATAAACATTAGGCCTAAGCTAGGCCTAGTTCAGTACAGTAGTTACTGCGATGCGAGGGTGGTAGATCGTTCAGTCAGTGATATCGTGTTATCGTCTAATACATTTTAATAATGTGTGTAAAATTTAAGAATGCAGCGCGTGGGTCGCTTTCTTTGTTATGCGGTAGTAGTATACGTAGCAGAGTGACGGCAGCAATCTAAGCTTAGCCTAGATAGTATACGTTCTTGATCATCGTAATGAAAACTTGGGTGACAGACGATTGTGCCCAACTGGTGTGGACGATCGGACACAAGATAGCTTCAAATAAATTGTAGTCCTAGTAGGCCACTGCCACCACCCCACTCCTGATATCATTCCAAACTACTTTAAAATGAAATTACTGTATACCTAGCTAGGCCTAGGCCCTATGCCTACGAAATTGTTTCAAAGAAATTTGCTAAAAATATTACAGTGTAACAAATATTTCAGGAGCGCCTGCTCTCTTCTTCAGCGTAATGCCTACTGAATTAAAAAACATAAGATAATCAAATCCTAATTATTATGTTAAAGAGACCGCATTCTTTGTATTGACTTGACCGCCTATCGTGCCGATCTTTTAGTTTATCGTTTGTTTATCATTAGATTTCTATGATCATAGACTTGAACTAATGAATTGTTCAATCCGGTGTTTTTTAATTCAGTAGGCATTACGCTGAAGAACAGAGCAGGCGCTCCCGAAATATTTGTTATTTAATAAATTTTTTAATATCCGGGTAAAACGTCAACCGCCTATGTTATTATTACTTGTCTCCAC